TAACAAAGTATTGAGATGAACTTTTGATGTTGACCAAATACTTATTTTCCACTATAATTTGCAAAAACAAAATCTTTCGAAATTAGACAATGTGATTGTCTGGATTTGTTTTCTCATTTTGTCTCTCATAGGTGAGGTCTACCTACGATGTCAATTACAGGCTTCTCTCACCTTTTTAAGTGGGAAAACTTGCACAATTGGTGGCTGACTAAATACTTTTTTGCCCCACTGTACTTGAGGATTCATCCTCTTTGTTTCCTGGAAACTCTTGTAGAATGCTGAGATATTCATCAAATAACATAAGTCTTTGTGAATTTTAATCTCTGTCTTGTAGGATAGATCTTAATTTAAATCTAAATTTTGTCAGGAAGTTCTCCAGCCATAACAATTGGGTTATCACAAACTGTCTATGGCAAGACTGCCTATCCCACCTCCCAAAGTTAATATGAAATTCAGAATAGATCTTTATTGTCATTAGGATTGTTTCTGCCAGTTCAAGTAAAGAGTGCAGTTGGATGGATAATATTGTACATCTAAAAAAAATCAATGTTCTCCCTTCTTACAGATGCTTAAATTAAGAAAGAAACTGAAACTGTCTCATGCTGATGTTATGCAGAAAATTGGGGAACTGTTTGCCTTGAGGTATCTGAATGAAAAATAAACAAAAAGATTGCATTTTAGAGTCCATTTAAAAGCAATCTTTAACAAAAAAAAATACCATGTTAGTATTCACACATATATGGATATAGTATACTGGCATGTATAATCCGCTTTTTAAATGTGTGATATTTTTAAAGTGATACAATTATATTTCTCTCTTCTGCATCTAGACTATTGTCCTCTGTCCTTTAACAGAACTAAGTAATGTTTAACAGAATCCAGAGCTTACTTGTATAAATTTAACACCAATAAGCATCTTGTTATTTTCCTGTTAAAATGTGGTTTATTTGTCAGGTCCTTACTTTGATTGTGTCACTAAATAGTATTAACTAGCAGCACAAAGATAAACCTTCAAACTAATCCCATTGTATATTGGTTTTTTTAATACCACTAGTTTTTTTCTGTATTTTCTTCAACTCCTGATAACCTAGGTTTGTAGTAATACACATATAGCAGAATAAATAAAAGGTGATAACATGTTGTATATAAAGCTTTAATCAGGTTCTAAAAGAATAGAATGTTTATTCGGAGATTGAAAACTTAACTATAAGTTCTGTAGCTGTGACAATGTAACATATTTTTTTTGCTACATGAAGTATGTTTGTCCAAAGAGTACTTGTAACTTATAACAGTGCAATATGCAAAATACAATTCATTACCTGGCTTTTAAATAAGAATTTATCTTTCCTTCCTCAGGCATCATATAAATCTGAGTTCTGATCTGTTGATTACCCCAGATTTCTACTGGGACAGAGAACATCTTGAACAACTGTATGATAAAATGCATCGGTTTCTCAGTATTGATCGCAGAGTTAAGGTATTATTTTACTATTTTTATCTACAGTATTTTTCAGAGTATAAGACACTCTGAAGTATAAGACGCACCTAGCTTTTGGGGATGAAAACAAGGGAAAAATATCAGCCTCTGCGTCCCAGCAATTTCCTTCCTTGCAACAAACAGCAAACAGTACAGACAATATACATGTGTTTGTAATGTTATATTTCAGATTATACTTGTACAGATGTTGTTAAAATTGATGTGCTTTCTGGAAGTATAGTTATTCTCTGCTATTTAAAAGAATAGCACTGGACCTCGTCAGATCAAGCATTTATTTTAAAAAGCTTCTTCATTTTGTTAAGCTGTCTAGAACAATATTAAAGCAGTCTTTAAATAAATAAGTCTAATACTTTGAACATTTGATAGGCATTTATAGTTGTTGACTTACCTCCTTGCAGCAAACAGCCTGATTAGCACATGGGGGAAAAAAATCTGCTTCTGCCTCCCAGCAATTTGCCTCGGGAAGCAAAGAGCAAGTTTCACTTTCAATTTCTCCCAATCACCAGGTGTTTCAGGCTGCAGGGATTGCTATAGGTTATTGAAGCCTCGGCAAGTCCTGTTTGCTGCAAAGAAGTAAATTGCTGGGAGGCAGAGGCAGATTTTTTTCCCC